ACTAAGAGCTAAGAGCAGGAGATTTGGGCTTAACCACTCAATGAACATGTCATAATAATTTGGTTTTGAACTCGTAATTTAAAAAAACTAAACACTACAGGGGCGTTTGTTGGGCCGGATTATCTTGGACTTGACTAGCTTCAAGGATTAAGCTGGACTGACTTAGACTAGACTAAGCTGGACTAACTTAGTGAAACGTTTGGTGCAGTGTTGGACTAAGAAGCTGGATCATAACAAATTCTAATATTATATTATTTAATATATAAATTATTAATATTTTATTATGATCTAAGTGATCGGAAATGACGAGGAGTCTATCAGAAGTGGTTGTTGAGCATGACGAGGACGAGAGAGGATAGTCTTAGCTAGTCTCATGGTTATTGGGGAGTCTCGCTAAGACCTCTTAGTGAAGGGTGTTGTCTATGCTAGTCCCCTTTAGTCTCATTAATATTAGTCCCAACATGAAACAAACACAGTATTAGTCTAGTCCAATCCCACTTAGTGAGCGCAAACAAACACCGCCTACAAATTTTTTAGGCCTAGTATATCATACCTACAAATATCACCGATATTCTTTCTCACTCCTAAATAAGACAAAAAATCCAATTGACAATAAAAATTCAAAAACAGCAGTTTCTTGCTTCTTCTGTTTTCCTCCACCAAATCGATCTCCTCTCTCTCATTCCTCTCTCTCGACCTTGTCTGCAATTGCCTGCCGCTGCTAGCCCTTTCTTCTTCACTTCGCATTCCCCGAATTTCACAATTCCCAAGTTCGTCTCGGCGAGAGGAGTTAATCGCAAACACTGAAAGCGAAGAACAGAAAAGGATGTTAAGAGGGAAGAAGATGAAGCAGCGCTTCACCTTCTTCTTCTTCTCCTCTTGAGATTCATGGCCGCTTCTCAGCACCGCTGCGTTTTTGGTAATCTCTCTTTCTCTCTCATTCATTCATTCATCCTCTCTTTGTTTTGCTATGAAATCTTGCGGCTTCGATTTTGATTCTAAATCAATCGCAACGAGTTCAATTGAGTCCGAATGCCATTTCTTAAGGGTTTTGCAGAAATTGGGTTGAAATTTTATATGGGTAATTTCTGATGTTATTTTTTCTGTGGTTGAATTATTTGTGATGCTATTTTTTCTGTGGTTGAATTATTTGTGATGCAGTGGGGAATATACCTTACGATGCCACTGAGGAACAGCTTGTAGAAATCTGCCAGGAGGTTGGTCCTGTTGTATCTTTCAGGTCAGTCAGTTGGCTCCCATCCCAATCACAAACTTTACAATTTTACATAAACCCTAAAATGTAACTCTAATTCTGCTTTATGTTTTACTTAGAGACTGATTTATCATTATTCCGAAGAAAAAACAATATAATTTAATCACAAATTTACAATTTTACGAATCCTCTTCTTCCTGTCCATTTCAATTTTAATTTTGCTGTTACGTTTCACTTAGAAACCGATTTGTCGTTGTTCAGAAGAAAAAACAAACATAATCTTTACCTTGCATAATTTAGATGCAGTTGAATTTCAAAGGATGTTAAATAGGTTGTCCTTCTTATGCTAGTGAAGCTATATGCTCTAGGATGTTAAATACGTTATAAATGTCTACAGTTTTTAAAGTGAGTTTAGAGGCGAAGTTGTATTAGCTAGCTATTTTCGTGTAGCTGATGTTACAATATTTTTTAGGTTGTGAAGTAAGTGTACTGCATGGCAAGTAGCCAAACTTAAGGTGTTCTGGAAGTAGCCGAATATTTTTAATATATTTTTCTATGCAACCTTTTTTTTCTTTCAGACTAGTTATTGATAGAGAGACTGGGAAACCAAAAGGTTATGGGTTTTGCGAATACAAGGATGAAGAGACTGCTCTAAGTGCTCGTCGCAATCTTCAGGGTTATGAAATCAATGGCCGGCAATTACGAGTTGATTTTGCTGAAAATGACAAAGGCACTGACAGAAGTCGAGAACAGGTGAATAGGAGATTTTTAGCTGCAGTATTATCCCATTTTCTTTGCTTTTCTAAATTTCTTGAAGTCATTTAATTAGCACCACTGTAGTCTTTTTTCTTTTACTGTCCCCACTCTATTATTAGAAGTGGCTTTACCAAGCTAGAAGGATATTTTGTAGGTTCTAAATTCTTGGATGACCAGTCTGACCTGGATTGTCCAACACTTTGATTACTTGACCATTGGTTTGGAATTAACAGTATCTAAAAGGGCTGGACTACACTTATATTTTGGCTGTTTTCTTTGGTTTGTCTGACTTATTTTAGTCGGTTAATCTGTTTCAAGATTGTTTGCACTCTATATCCCTCCTTTTTTTAAATGTTCTGTATTCTTTTGAGATCAGTCATAGTACTGTTTCCTTGGAAATGTGGCCAATAAACCAAACGAGTGACATAAATCATCTTAGTAGTGACAGTTGAATAGGGGGTTATGCCAGGATTGCGTATGTATTAGTGCATATAAATGTTGGTTTTATTGTAAGCTTAAGGTAATTTTTTCTCCATTTGCAGGGTCGTGGTGGACCAGGACTGACTGCTAATGTTGGTTAGTTTTCTTCTCTTTTTTCTTGTTCTTGTTTACCGAGTTATTATTTGATTTAAGAGAAGTCTGAATTGTGCTATCTTTTTCTTTTGGTTACATCATAGACCCCCAAAAACAAGTAGGGGGACCATCTGTTCATGCAGAATCTCTTCAACATCAGCCAATTGGTCTCCATATTGCTATTACTGCAGCTACCGTCATGGCAGGAGCTCTAGGTGGTGCTCAGGCTGGTTTGCAGTCAGCTCAAAGTGGCTTGCAGAATCAATTGGCACCACCAAATGATCCCTTGACACTTCATCTGGCCAAAATGTCTAGGGGTCAGTTGAATCAAATTATGGCAGAACTCAGGGTCAGAAATTGAAGAAGCTTATTTCTTTATTTTGGATCCATCTTGGTATGTTTCTCATACTTTTTCTAATTATAGGTAATGGCTATACAAAACAAAGAACTAGCTCGTCAACTATTGCTTGCAAGGCCACAGTTGCCAAAAGCCCTCTTCCAGGTGAATATTGACTATTTGTATTAGTGTTTATGTGGTACAAATTTCAATCAGTAAATTTCTTTTTTGATACTACCCTTTTGTTAAAGCTTTTATGCATTATTCTTTTGTAAATATGTAATTTTGTTTGAGAGGTTTTCCTGATGTCTGACCATAAACTTCCCGGAAGAGTAGATTTGATTGAGCTGTATACTTCTGGTTTCCTTGTCTAGGGAGGTCCTTCAGACATGCTTTCTCCAAAAGGTGAAGTTGTTTGAATAATTAGTTGTAAAAGGGAGACAAATTGTTGTGTCAAATTGGGACTCTCTTTACTAAATGAAGCGTATTGGAATGACCACCGTGTGTAGGCTTTGCGTTATTCGTTTGTTACATTTACCTTATTCTCAATTTGGATGATGTTTTAATAGCTCCGTTCCCTATTGCCCCCCCCCTCTCCCAGCGCCTCTGCAGATGTTAACAGCTCACCAATTGATATTGGTTGATTAGATGGAGGACAGAGCAGGGACATGAAAGTTTAAGTTCTCTTTTAGAACATACCATTAAGCATGGAGTAAAAGCTGTTTACATAGCAATTATGAGCATATAACAGCCGCATTCATCTGCATTGAGTATCTTTGTCTTGATGTAGAAGCGTTCTTGTTTCCCTGTCATGCTTTTGGTTACCTGCTAATGATCTAGATGATTCCCACTGGAAATTGAAGGGCCAACATACTCCATAACCTTTTCCGCTTGTGCTTTTGTGCTGTTTCTTTTGCTAAATTGTTATAGTGTTGATATCTTAACTTTGTTTTCAGGCACAAATAATGCTTGGAATGGTGAGCTCACAAATGGTTCGTTTCTCCACCTGGAACTGTTGTCATATCAATATTGTTAAGTACTTGTGCTTAATTAACTTATTAATGGTAAGACTTTGACTTTCCCTTTTCAGTTGCGGATGCCAAATATCAGGCAAGCTTCAGGTCATATCTCACAGCCTCCATTCAACGAGGCCTTGCAGTCTGGGTTGGTGCCCAATGTGCAAGAAGGCCAATTTTCTGCTGTACCTCAAAATCCATTGGTTAGAAGCCAGTTTTCTGCACCCCAACAGCAACCCACGCACCCTCGAATGCCGCTTCCACAACATGCAAACCACCATGTTTTGCAACAGGTCTCATTACTGGGGCAATCTGGAGTTCCAACACTTCCTCCCATACACCCTCAGTCTTCAAGTGGTTTGTCCATTCGACCCCAAACTCAGCTTACAAATTCTTCTAGTTCAAACCAGAAAATGCAGCCTTCTTTACTACAGCACCCGGGTCAGGTTGGACGTGCAAATTTTGGGCTTAACACTCATATGGTTAATCCAATTGCTACTGTACAGCATTCTTCTTTACCTCGTCCTGTGTCTGAAGCCAGTTTCCAGGTGCCATATTTTATAGTACTTGTGATAATTTCGATTTTGATGTCTACGTTTGATTGAAAAAGAGGATTGGTTGCAAAGGCGGATAGAATAATTAGTTAAGCTGAACAGAAACTTTATGTAATGCATTATGCTTGTTGTGTTGTATTTTAGTTGACTTTTATAAAATTTCTGGATGAAGGTTTGTGTTTACAAAATTCAGAGGACTAGGGTGTGAAAAAATTATCTGACCTCCATCGTTTTGTGCTTTTAGTTAGCTTTTTAGTTTTTGTCATTGTTTGTGTTATCTAACTTTGCTTTATTTGTTACAGCCTGGCTCTTCAATGTCTTCAGGAATCAACAGGGACAGATCCTTTCAAATGGTTAATGATTCTGTAGAATCAGTTAAGCGTTCTTCAAAGCTAATGAAATTGGATGATGGAAGGGGTAGCTCTTTGTCAAGAGTGGGTCTTAATGTGCCTAATGCCAATGGGTCTGTATTGCCCCATGCTTTGCCTGCGAAACCTGTTCATAAGTCAGAAGAAGTACAGCACTCTGAGAAACAGATTTCTCAGGTAATATCTTCCCTGGTGATTACTTTATTCCAGTTGTTTTTCATATTTTTGCAGCTAGTTCGGTCTTGAAACTGGAAAATTTTGTGTGAAAAGAAAAGTTGTCTTGCTGCTCAGTGACACTGATTTTTTTGGTATCATGAATTGCTGGCACAAATTTTTATTAAGTTTATGTTGAGGCCTGTGCCTCCATCTGAAAAGTATTAACCAATTGGCATTAGGTCATCTAAAAAGTATTAACCAATTGGCATTAGGTGGAGTCCTAAAATCTTATACATTGAAATATAAGCCTTAGAATACCTGATGTGAGAATTGATATACTCAACACATCCCCTCACATGTGCGCTCACATGAATTTATATTCTCCCTTATATTGTGATGTGGAGCATGTTTTACAAAATTAGGCCTGAAACCTAACGAACTGCTTGTTCTGATATCATGTTGCTTCTACAGCATCTAATAGAAAAACCAAGTGCAAAGGCATATGATTTTTATGAATTGAAATGTTAGATAGACAGAAAACAATGTGGGACTTTATATTCTCAGCCAATTGGGGAAAAGCTTTGTGACATTCCCCATATCTTTGTAGCTTAAGCATTACAAAATTCTCTCTGATAAAGGGGCTAATTTTCTCTTAACTAGTGGATGGAGGTTCGGAAAAGAAAGTCATTTGGATACTGAACTATTGGTTTAAATCATCTGTAGTGATTAATCAACACCTCAAAGGATTTTACTTGTGGGTTCTTGATGAACCAGCGTATATAACATAAAGACTTAGAAGGAATTTAGAAGTGATTTAATGATGCAAGAGCCAATTTTTTAGTATGATAAATAAGCTCATCCAAGTGCCAGGCACTACATGATTGAGTGCTTGTTTGTTACCTGGAATTAATGTAATTTACACTTGTACTCTAGGTCTATTTTGGATTCCTACGTTAGTTGTCTTTGACCCTCTTTATGTTACATGATCAATGTCTTAGGTGTCATCAATTCTGCGCTTTAGAATTCCTAAGCATATTAATTTGGGTGTTTCAATGAGCCATATACCATTGTAGAATGGAGCAGAATAATGGATAAGTTTCGTTTTGGTGCCTAGGATCAGTCCATATTATAGACCTAGGATGTTCCTTGGAAGATGCAGATGGATGGAGGAGGAAGGTGGGTTTTGTGAATGTAGTAACAGGCTCTTCTGACATTGATAATGCAGGTGCTAAGAATAAGTTCGGGGTATGGAGATTTGCTTGGTGTTACACGGGCCAGCAATTAATAGGGAGTGAAGGTATTTCTTGAATTAGTATAAAGAGGTGGAGGTGAGGATTGAAAGGTCGTCTTGAGAGTTTAGAAATTCACATTTTTGTGCTTTTCTGGAATTGTAGCTTTTTTACAAGTTGTTCCAAAAGAATGTTTAGAATGCTAGCACATATTAACAGTATCTAACATGTGCCTAGAGTTTGTGCTTCAGTCATATGTGAATGCGTGTATTTTCAGTTTCCTGTTTTAGTTTTGAAGCATTTTGTGAGATGGTCGCTCCAGAATCTTGATGCAATTTACTATATAGTATGCAATTAATTTTTTCACTGTTTGTATGATGAAGTTCATTATAATAAACTTTGTTCTTCTCAAAAAACAACCGGATAAGAGATACTGCTCCAATTTGCCATTTGATCTGGAGTATCTGACATCATGGTTAATCTTTCTCAGTCTGAGCTTCACCCTGGGGTGGAGTCTGCTCTACTACAACAAGTTTTGAGCCTAACACCGGAAAAACTGAGTTCATTGTCTCCGGAACAGCAACAAGAAGTAATAAAGCTCCAACAGTTGCTTCGGCGAGATCAGATTCAGCCATCGTAGCAGAGTCATAAATGGCAGTTTTGATGCAGCAAGTTGTTACATGTGCAGGCACCAACTTGCTTGCTAGAGCAACAAAAGGCATGGTATTGATTCAATCGATTTTGATTGTTTGTAACAGTATGTTCACGTAAGGAGTCGATTCAGAGGATCTGCAGTGCAGGAGTACTACCATATTCGTGTAGCTTACACAAGCTTGTGTTCTAGTCTAGTCAGTAAATTAGTTAGAATAGCAAAATTTTGTCTGTATCGCAACATTTAAATTTACGTTCCCTCAGCTAAAATTTGTTGCTTCACTTTTGACAATCCTTTGCTCCAAACGTTATGTACTTTGCTCGAGGTTTATTCAGATACTACAAAAATTTCTCGTGGACGTATCGTTTCGTCTATGAAAGCTTCATGGATCGCTTCATCATCTGTATCGTCACTTGGTTTCTCCTCAGTTGTTTTGTTATTTACAGTTACTTGGAAGTATTGAGGGTGTATGACTCGATGCCCGGCGAACAAGGAATAAGAACATTTACAAATTTGCTTGCAGGGCGGTCGATTATGTTTTATTTTCCCAACAATTTGTATTTAAAGGTTGTGGTCAATATTTGTATTTGAATAAATCTGATATTTTGCGTTTGAAGATCATTAGACCGCCGAGATGCATAATCGTTGTGATGATGCATTACACATCATGCTCAGTTTTGGGGAAGGGATTCAAATTTGGTTTAGGGGGTTGGGTAAAACGCTGTTTAACCAACTGGCTTAACGTATGCAATGAAAATATTGTACTAATAATATATATTTGTATGAAGTGGGGGATTATCTTGGTGAATAAGATTTTCTTTCTCAACTCATTGCTGTCATAGGTTTAAACCATCTTTCCTTCCTATAGTGTAGATTATTCTATCATTCGTCGCAAAAAAAAAAAAAAAAAAAAGAAGTATACTCTAGGATGAAAATGTCCCAAAATAGTCTTTAAAAGCATCTACAATCATATCGAGTGTGGCGAGTTAGATCTCTAAAAAGAGTAGCCATCAAGAATAAACATACAAATTGAGCATCAACCTTGAATTTTGTTGCAGCACACCAACTAGATAAGTTTGTGCAGACAGCATCACCAATCTCATCTTTCTTTCACATACTTCTCCAAAGCTTCTCCCACTTCTACCGTCATTCCACGCCTTCCTCTTGATTTTTAATCGTAATTTTTGGCCGGCGTTAGTTTGTAATGAATTTGTTGAAAAAGTAGGGTCTAATTGCTATATTAATCACCCATAAAATTCATAATTATCATATAGATTAAATACAAAATTTAAAACATGCACATGATCAACCAAATGTTAAATGAAGATGACATAATGAATTAGAAAAACCTGAAAATCGATCGAGGCAAGTGTTAGAGGTTTTTTCCTTGACATAATTTTACGCCATACTATGGTGCTCGTGGTTGATCGGTAATTGTCTCCAAGAATACAACGAATTATTAGTACAACTGGGTTGACTAATCACTATATATGGCCATTACAAAACTCATAACCACGTATGGAAATTAATTTTGTCGGAGAGTAGTTGTTACTAATGTTAAGTCCTCCAAACATATATTGCGACTTACTAAGTAATTTGACAATGCTTGGATAAACTCCCTTGCATGTAAAATATTATTTTTTTGAAAGGTCCCTAACCTTTTAATACCTTAAATAACTAATTGTAAGAAATAATTTAAAACCGTCTTCCGACCAACTAACCAAGACATATTTCTTAGGAAACTTAGCTAATTTGATCACTTGTTGTGTTTTGGTTGCACTTTTGATCCCTCTCCCACAAAATTAATCTTTTGATCAAATTTGCATGTGAAGAGTCCATACTACCCTTCATTAATCAGAAAGGGGGAAAAGAGCAATGACGCCCAAACGAAACCCAATGGCAATCCTCTTTTCGACGTTAAACCTCCACTCAAATAACAACATTACAAGGACGTCATAACTACAGTGCAATTACTCCACAATGACATTCCAACGATACTCCTTTTATGATTATAAACCAACTCTACCACAACAACAATGTGATGATGCCCCAATGATACTCCACTGATATACCCTATTTTATGATTTCGGAACCCCACAATCACAATAATTCATTCAAGAACCCCTTCCTTCTTCTTTCCACAACCACCACAACCAAATTTCAAATCGAAAAATCAAATAATGAGCTAAAGCAAGATGAGAGAGAGATTACTACAAACATGATCCGCATTCTCTATTAATCACAAGAATTAGAAACACACAAAACCGGTATTCTATACTACATGTGCCATAAGATCCAGATAACTAAATCAATCATACAATTTGTTTATACCATATTTAGGACCTCGTATAAATACTCAGGGGACTTAAATGTAATTATGTAATAAAAGAAGGGGCAAATATGTAATTAGGGGAGGAGCCCTTATTCTATAAAAGGGTCCTCACCCTCACAAACCCTAAGTCTCTCCTATCTAGAGCAAAGCTCTCACACTCTCCCTCACAAATACTCTCAGAGAAATACAATCAGTGTGGACGTAGCCCAAACCTTGGGGTGAACCACGATACATCTTGTGTCATTTACATTTCATGCAGATTCACGGTCGAATTTACGTTGTTCCAAGACCTCCGGTTTTGTGCATCAACACAATTTATATGCACTAAATACCAAACACGAAAACATGTATAATTCTCTACCCCCAAAGGAATATTCGTATCCAACAATTTTATACAGACATGCTTACACTGGCTTGGATGGGAGAGGGAGAGGGAGGGAGAGAGAGAGAGAGAGTGAGTGAGAGAGAGAGAGAGAGAGAGAGGTGGAGCAATCGAAAGCTTGTTAGATTATTAGGTTAGTGGACGTAGTGGCTCTATCCACTACGTAAACATCGGGTTGTTAATGTAAGCAGTTTTAACTGCATGGCCGAATAAACCCTAGCTTTTAGGGATCAGTAGAAGTTGTTTTCCTTTTGACTTAGTCTTATACCACGTTTAGGATAATGTTTAACGTGGGTTGCATGTTTATCTTTTCCTCCGTTTGTAAGGCTTATATAGCCTGCTTATTCTTTGTTTAATGCTAAGTGAAATTCCTCCCAGTTTACAAAGTTCTCATTCGACAAACACTAGGGTTTAACATTTGGTATCAGAGCCCCCACCTGGGGCTCCTGATCAAAAGCTTGAGAGATAGCAATCTTTTGAGTGCAGAGGTACGAGAATATGGCAGGAGAAGGAAGTGGTTTTGTGCAGGCATCTATTCCAAAACTGGATGGGCATTATGACCATTGGGCAATGCTTATGGAAAATTTCCTACGTTCAAAGGAATATTGGAGTCTTGTGGAGCATGGAATCCCTGCAGCAGCAGAAGGAGCTTCACTTGCGGAGGGACAACGAAAAGTGTTCGAAGATCAAAAGTTGAAAGATCTGAAAGCCAAGAACTATCTGTTTCAAGCAATCGATCGAGCTGTTTTGGAAACAATCTTGAACAAAGATACGGCTAAGGAGATTTGGGATTCGTTGAAACAGAAGTATCAAGGGACTGCTCGAGTTAAACGAGCACAGTTGCAAGCACTTCGAAAGGAGTTCGAGATGCTTCAC